TATATATATATATATATATATATATAATGGAAGAAGCATGTAATTCAAGTTGTCTCATTTTGTAGACCAGTTTAGTAAAGTACATTGGTTGTTAAAAATTAATATTTTTTATATAGGCTAAATTTTGTATAGAGTTAATGTTACTTTAAGAGCCAATAGTTTCAAATTCACTGTTTTATTTTGCAGTACAAGAAGATTTCAAGCAATTCAACTTTCACGACAACACTTACAGAACTGCGCAAATTTGAGCAATACCACATACAAGTATTGGCCTACACACGTCTGGGAGATGGAACTCTGAGTGCACCTCCTGTTCGAGTTAGAACATTTGATGATAGTAAGTACCTTCAGCTTTCTACTCACATGCTTAATGAAAACTGTTTCTGGCTACATTAGTGAATATGAGTAAAATAAAGCATGGTATACATGTGCTAAAAATATACGTACAAATGTATAGACATGCATTAATAAAGTGTGGATATTGTAGGAGAGTTGGTTATACACAGTACTCTGTTCACTTATGCATCAGTGCAGTATCATAGTGCAGAGTACCCAATTTACTTTTCCTGACACTCTGCCCAATGCTATTTTGCTTCAATTTTGAGATCTTGTGCATTGTTTTTGGCATAGTTTTAGTGTTCAGCATTTTGAACATGTAAATTTTTCCTGGCAGTAGTATATAAATGTGAGGAATGCAAGTTCTTAGTTGCTGCTGATTGTTTTGTGCACAATAGCAAGCATAATTGTTTTACTCAGAATTTTAGAAATTTAATACATTTGAACAAAACATGTGTTGTCATGTAGCTCTCAATCACTCTTCTTTCTTCTACAGCCCCCTTCCATTTTGCTGTTTTTTATCTCCTTAATTCTTGGTTCTTCCTTTGTCCTTATTCCAGGCCTTTCTCCTCCATTGTTTGTGTAAATTGGCCTTCCAAGTTGATATAGATCTGCCTCCTCTTCTCCTTCTGACAAGTATCGCATTTCAACTTTGTTTTGACCATTTCTCATCCTGCATCTACTTGAAATTTCCGTACTGTTGAAGATTTTAATTTTCTATTCTGGTTATGGTTGTTTAAACCCAACTCTCCCCCCATTCTAGATCAATTCTTATCTTGTTATCTGCAATGATCTTTTCAAAAGACGAGCTCTACTGACCGTATTGAATTGAATTGTTGCCTTATTTTTTGTGGCGGGTCTTGGGCCATCAGGCCTGCTTTTCCGTCTAACCACGCAATTTTCGCTATGCTTCTTTCACAAACTAGTGTAGAAAGGAGGTATTTTTGGGTGACGAAACAGGTTATTTGAATTTAGCTCAGAGTATCATTTAGGCATTTACATTCAAGTAAATCTACTAATGTGGGCCAGCTTTACTTTCCCTCCAAAGGATTTTTTCGGCCTTAAAAATCTACGGCGTCAATTGAGTTTGAACATGCCAACTTGGGTATAATAGTCCGATACGCTAACCATTACACCATCGCTGCCGCTATTCTGCGATTTTGATGCTTTCTTAATATTTAATATGTGTAGTTATGCTTCACTCTTTGCAAAAGTTGATAGTAACCAGTGTGCTGTTGGAAATATTAATGTTTAAAACAGAGTACTATGATATGTTGTAAAAAGATTGATGATAATAAATGTAATTGAATATAATATTAATTATATAAAAAATGACAGTCATATTCAAGAACCATTACTAAATTTTACCTATAGAAATTGCTTCATTAAGTGAAAATGTATTCTATTTTTTTTAATTTAGTTACCAAGTAATGTTCTCGTTCGGATGAAGTAACTGTAAATTTTGTGTTGTACAAAAATTTTAATAGTATAATAAATTTTTAAATAAATGTGCAATGAAATAAATTTAAGTACAATTATGATTCTTTATAATATAAATCTTAGTAAAGGATTTAATAATATAGTTTGAAAACACTAATGACTAAACAGAGATGAATTGTTCCACATTTCTGACGTTTCTGCACTAAGCCAACAGTCTGAAACCTTTAGATTTCACCAAAACATACTTCCATGTACTAAAATGCATACTTTGCTTGGGTTTGCACTGTCACTCAGTTGTCTGGATGTTGAATTAGGTAGGCTTCCAGTTTCCTCTTGAAAATGGCCATATTTGGAGCAGTGATGATATCCTTTGGGAGAGCATGCTAGTTGTTGATCACTCTTTTGAACAGAATGTGGAGTTTGTGGAGTTTCCCCTGTATTCAGTTTTGTTTTCTCAGATGAGAGTTTTGATAATATTGGTACATTTGGAGAAATTTGTTTAAAAGTCTGATAGTACTTTTAAAAGTTTTTATGATATCTCCAAGTATTCTCCTGTCACATAATAATTGGAGATTAAGTGATGAGTCTCTTCTCATATGTTGCAATTTTCAATATCAGTGGTAGTTTAGTAGCTCTTGTTTGAACTTTTTTCAGAAGCTCAATGTCCATGAAAAAGTAGGGTAATTATATAATGTGCAAATACTCTAAACATGGTCTGACATATGTCGTGTAGGTCTTGTTCAAGAAATCGTGGGTGATTTTTGGAAAGTTTTTCAGATCATTTAGAAAGTATTATTGGCTTTTCTCATTATTTGTTTGATGTGTAAATTATTTATCTAAGCCAGTGTTGTCTATGAATTAAGTTTCTTGATGAGTATTCTTTTTTCAATATGAAGTATTGCACATGTTTATTGCCATTCACACTCAGCAGCCAGACTCTTGTCCAAATGTTAAGAGGACTCAAGTTGCATTGAAGATTAGGATTGTTGGGGTTACCCATTAGCTTAGAATCATCAACCAAAAATATCCCATTGAATGCAAGCAGACCAATTGTATATACAGAATAAATAGAATTGTACAATAAAGAGACATGAGCCTAAATTGGTACTCTGGGGTTCTCACTCTGGACAGGGTAGTGTTACAAGATAATTTCTATATTCTGACTGTGAATGCTCAAGTAGTTAGAAATGCTCTAATCCATGCATGCTCTTATTCCTAGATATTCGTGTTTGTATAGTAATCTCTTGTACAGGACATAATCAAATGTAGTTATGCTTTCCTCTCTGAAAATGTTTGTAACCTGGTTGCTGTTTAAAAAAGAGATGTACAATGATGTAGTAACATCAAAGGTCATAATAAAGGTAATTGAATGTAATGTTTATTCTCCTTCTCCTTGTCCTCCTCCTCCTCTTTCTCCTTCTTGTCCTCTTTTTCCTTCTCCTTCTTCTCTTTCTCCTCCTTTTCTTCTTCTTCTTCTTCTTCTTCTTCCGCTCCTCTTTTCTTCTCCTCTCTTCTCTTCTTCTCTTCCTTCTTACTTCTTCTCCTCCTTCTTCTCTTCTCCTTCTTCTTTCTCTCCTCCTTCTTCTCTTTCTTCTTTTCCTTCTTCTCCTCCTTTTCTTCTTCTTCTTCTTCCTTCTCTCTTGCTCTGCTCCTTCCTTTTTTTCTTCCTTCTCCTTCTTCTTTCTTCTTCTTCTTTCTCCTCCTTACTTCTTCTTCTTCTTCTCCTTCTTCCTTCTGTCTCTATCTTCTCTTCTCCTCCTCCTTCTTCTTCTTCTTTTCTTCTTCTTCTTTCTCCTTCTTGCTTCTTCTATCTTTCTCTTTCTTCTC